AAATCTTGATGTAGCTGCTAAGAGATCTGCTAGACAGATGGGTTCCCCCAGCCACAGTAGGCAGGGAGGTACTTGCAGACTGCTAGAGCAGTTTATCCAAGACCTAGAGGAAGGGATGCAACTATGGGTGAGATGACATCTGCTTAAGTCAGCCGAAGAGGCCCAGAGAATCACCGAAGCTTATGCAGCATCAGAAGTAGAGACAGTGAAGAAAAAGACTTATCAAAATGAGAGGGGCCAGTACCCTAGGGAGTGGCAAGCAGCCAGAGCCAGCAGAAAAGGTGGCGGGGGTGGTGAGTGGCCAGAGCTGGAAGAATGGGGAGGAGGGATGGGGGTGGCGCATGGTGATGGCAGTGGCACATGGCAGGGCTTATATGGCACTGACCTCAGGGGCACCCAAAATACAAGGCCCGGGGCAGTTGCCCCAATTCACCCCCACTAGGGACAGCCCTGCCTACTTCTCTGCTGAAATTCCTGCTGTTATGCATTATACTTATGTATAATGTACAACAAATGTAGTGTCTGCCAGAGGCCAAAGGGACAAATGGGCCAGTTGGTTTTCAGAGAACTGCATGGTCATTAGAGGGAAAACAGCCTAACTCCACTTCCCCGTGTCCCACCCACTGTTGCTACAGACAAATTGCTCTTAATTTTTCTGTAGTCATAAAATGAGTCAACACTAAGAGCTGTCATTATCAGACGGGTGAGGGGTGCCTCAAATCTAAAAAGTTTGAGTATCACTGGCCTAGGCAATCCATTGAATCAGACAGACGCCTAATAATAGGATCAAGAAGAATCATGTTGAACAGGCAATCACCTAGGATAGCAGATATAAAATGCTGAAAAGAGGGCTTAGGTTCCTGCCTTTATCTAGAATTCACAAACTTGAACACTGATGTAGAGTTAGGGCTGATATGGGTGCCTTTCTTTCAAAATGGAGGAGGCAGCAAACATTGTAGTCATGCCACCAAGGCCATCGTCCAATGGTGGTGCTACAGGAAGTCTAGCCTAGCGCACTCTATCTCCTTTCCTTCCAGTCTACAAAAATACTTGAAATAACTACAGACCCATGTGGTGCTCTCAAAAAACCCTGGCAGATGTTACATTTGTTGCACAACAAATTGTTACAGGCCAACTGGCCACATGTTAAAATTATCAAAGGATATGTTTCTGCTACAAAGAGGTTGCTTTTTCAATGAGTAACTTCTCTGTGGCTGATCCACCATTGTTGTCCAAGGATAAACTGGTTTAACATCAAGCATGTTATGATTTGTTACACAATACTTGTATATAATGCACAACAAATATAATGTCTGCCAGAGGCCAAAGGGACAAATGGACCAGTTGCTGGGTCCAGAGAAGTATATGGTCTTTAGAGGGAAAGCAGCCTGGCTCCACTTCCTCCTGTGACCCAACCACTGCTGCTAGAGCAGTTGTGGCAGCTCCAGGGTGCTACCAGTACTGATGGAGGGTGATGGCTGGCAGAAGTATGGCTTCAGCATTAAAATGTTTGTACTTCTACAGTGGAAGGCAGCCAAAAAAAAATTCTGTCCAACAAAAGGGAAATGACTGAGTTCAATGACTGAGTTATATAAACTGTTAAAATGGCAAACCTGAAATTTTATCAAGGCACCATACTTTCTCTGATAAATTTCAGAGAAACACAGGCTCCTTTTAAGAAACTTTTCTAGGGGTGTGTGAAAATAAAACTTACATTTGTATTTTATGCTCATTTTTTCAGTGACATTCACAAGAATAAACCATGAATATTTTCTGGATCTTCTTTCTTCCTATTTTCAGACAACAATCCTGATTAATTCTGATTTACTGAAAGAGAGAGAGGCTTCCTGATAGACTGCATGTGAAAAAGGAAATCAGGAGTTATCCTTTTTCAATATTGGGTAAGACTTCACATTTTTGTTTCAATTTTCTCATCTATGAAATGGGAATAATCCTTATTAATATTCTTATTAATAGTTCCCTTAAGTGTACATGAAGATGAACTGTAAGTCTATTTAAGAGTAAGAAAAAAACCTCTACGCACTAGCATTACCAGGTGCTTTAGTTTACTCTGCTAGCTCTTCAACATTTCTGAATACTTAAATACTAGTTGTACCAAATGTAATTTCACCATCTTTTTCAGTGTTATCTGGCAGATTACATCTTCATAGTCCTTATTTTCCTTGTTTTGTTTTTCTTTGAACAAAACTAGCCTTTTTAAAAAATTCAGCCCTTTAGGGAATTATTTTTTTCTTTGGTGAACTGCCCTGTTTTTCTTTAACATTCCTCCTTTAGTTGAAAAACATGAGGAACTTTTTGTTTTATTCCATAGTCAACAATTTTATTTCCCTTTTCTGTATCCTTATCTAGTGAAAGAGATGTTTTATAGTATATTCAGAAGGAGATTTTAACAATGCTGTAATACCATTAAACTACTACTCTCAATAGGTTGCCAACTAGCAAAAAAAATATTTTGTGGGCAATCTACAGAACTGTGTGTGTTAATGCAGTGAATTAACGAGGCAGACTCATTAATTCATGGGTTCAAATCCTACTTTTAACATTCCTTTACTTGCTCCCTGGCTGCACAGACCTTATCTCACTTAAGTCATCACAAATTAAAATGAATCTGGTGCTTTCATGGTTACCCACATTCTAATAGGTTTGTGTGTGTCCACACTTAGCAAAATACTTCCATTTCTGCTAGAGGGAGAGTAATATCTGATCAGTCAAGAAAAGAAGTGCCTCTGGCATAACTGTATGGGGAGGAAGGCTTGCAAAACACTTATCCCCTTTAGGTCTGGCTTTAAATAATGAACTTTATACATACCATTTTTATATTTAATCATAAAGTAACTCACCAGAGAGATTTTACACCAGTCAATATGGAACTGGGTACGAAATTTTTTATCACAAGTTATTACAGGTTCCATTTCTTGGCTGCATCTCAGCTGATTCTGTGGGTTTTCTACTTCTCGTAAGCATGAGGAGAACGGAACATCCGCACCAACCATTACATAGACACTGTAGGAAGAGATGTGTGACAGTATCGAGATGGCCATTAAACATGCTGAACGAACATGGCTTGTTCCATTGCATTCCAATGATACCATTGTTTGATGTTTTAGGGCTATGACTTGCATGTTTTTTCTTGACAATTATATACTTTTCTCAAAGTAGACATAATACACTGGAACCAAACTATTTT